CCAGTTGCCCTCAGAGACGGCACATCTCTAGTCCAAAAGGAAACATGGCCTGTCGCTTGCATCTGCTTCTTTTTGCCCACAGTGCTGCGACCAGGTGCTTGGATTTCCTCATTACCTTTGCAGAGACAAGGGACAGATTTCCAGGATTCCTCTTGACTGTTGTTCCCTCCGTTTTCATAGGCAAAGGCTAAGGTCAAATGGACGCTTTTCCCTGCGCACAGAAAGCAGTTTCATCGGGTCTGTGTTATTCTTGCTGACACAGCAGTTGCATTATTCTGACTGACAGATGCTCAGAGGAAATTCAGTGCAAATACAACTGATTGAATTCACAAAGAGACAGACTGTTTGCACCTGTGGGTGGGTCTGGCTTAGAATCTCTCTGAGCAGTTCAGTAATAGCACACCAAAAGACTGCTGGAATCTTATTTCCCCTCAGGAAAATGCTAAGTCTAAGAGTGTGGCAGATGGCGTTTGCCTAGTAGTAAATGCATCGCTGGCTCTGTGTGTGTGTGTGTGTGTGTGTGTGTGTGTGTGTGTGTGTCTCCTCAGTAGCTGCATTTAATATGCTGAGCAAAAGCTATTTGTTTTACATAATCTTATTATAGAGTTGAAATATACTGGTTCTGGAGAAATCAAATTGAATTGCTTTTAAGTCAAAATGATGTTAACAGATGTTACCTCAATAACCCAAGATTAGCAGGGTGCTGGTGGCTCAAGCCTGTAATCCTAGCTACTCATGAGGCTGAGATCTGAGGATCATGGTTCAAAGCCAATCTAGGCAGGAAAGTCCATGAGACGCTTATCTCCAATAAACCACCTGAAAACCAGAAATGGAGTTGGGGCTTAAAGTGGCAGAATGCTATCCTTGAGCAAAAAGCTCAGGGACAGCATTGAGGCCCTGAGTTCAAATCCCATGACCAACAAAAACAAAATCATCCAGGGCTTACAATGGGTTATTATAAATAAGACTTATGCTGTTACTTATTCTATAAGACTGTACACCTTACAGTATTCCTTCTTATGATTTCTAGTTACTACAGCGTGGTTCCCATGTATTCTTGAACAAGAACTGTCAGTTACTATGGAAAGCCGGCCACTTTCTTGCTTTTGCTTTGTTTTATTTTATTTTGGTGCCCCTACTAGGCCTTGCACATTTTCTTGCTACATTAGGCCTTGAACTCAGGGCCTGGGCACTATCCCTTAGTGTTTTTGCTCAATGCTGGTATTCTATTACTTGATCTACAGCTCCACTTCTGACTTTTTGGTGGTTAATTGGAGGTAAGAGTCAGATGGACTTTCCTGCCTGGGCTAAGCTTTGAACCCTGATCCTCAGATCTCAGTCTCTAGGGTTGCTAGGCACCGAACCCAGCCATTTTGTTGCTCTTCACCTCTGGCTTTTCTCAGTCACTGTCTGTGGCGAAGCTTGTAGCGTTTGACATGAACCGCAGGTCAGCGTTGGGAAAGCTGTTTCTACCTGCTTCTGGGCATTTCAAATAAAGGGCATTATGACACTGCTGGCTGGTGACGTGTGCAAAATGACACATGCAGAGGGAATGTCTACCTCCAATTTAGTGATGCACACTGTTGAGATTAATTGTTGATGAGTAAAGAAGCTAGGAGTTTTTTTCCCCCCCATGGTCCTCTCTCTCCCCAGGACCCAGGACCAAGCAGGCAGGAAGTAGAATGCACAGCACGGCAACATGGAGGCTCTAAGATCGCTGCTCTCAGATACGGCTGCATTGTGACGGGGGGCAGGCCCAGCTGCATGGCTCTGAGATCATAACTATGTTTGCTCAGGGGTCATGCTTCCGACGGGCTGTTCTCAGCTGATGAACCAGCACTGGAGGAATATGAAAGCTGACTCACCTCTGGGAGACATGACTTTGACCTGAGGTTTTCTGTCAGCCGTGTCCAGCTTTCCTTAGAAGGGCAATGCCGCCCACATGCATCCAGCCAAGCTTTCTGTCCTTGTGGGTCAAATCCTCTTTTTTTTTTTTTTTTGGTCGGTCATGGGGTTTGAACTCTGGGCCTAGGTGCTATTCCTGAGCTCAAGTTGAGTGCTCTACCACTTGAGCCACAGCACCATGTCTGGGTCTCAATTGGAGCTAAGTTTCATGGACTTTCCTGCCCCGGCTGGCTTTGCATTGGGATCCTTAGATCTCAGCCTCCTAAGTAGCTAGGATGGCAGCTTGAGCCACCAGCGCCCGGCCCAAATCCTCATTTCTATTTGATGACTGTGTGCCTGCCTGCTGCCTGCTCACACCATATTCTGTTGTAAATTACTCATGCAGAGCAGTACTTTCAAGCTGTGCTTTGTCCTGTGAGACTCCAGTGTGTGTGTGTGTGTGTGTGTGTGTGTGTGTGTGTGTGTTGGTCCTAGGACTTGAACTCAGGACTTGGGCATTATCCCTGAGCTTTATCTTTTTTTTTTTTTTTTTTAATTCAAGACTAGCATTGTATCACTTGAGCTGCAGTTATACTTCTGGCTTTTTGGGGGTGATTAATTGGAGATAGAAGTCTCATTGAACTCCCTGTTTTGGGGTGGCTTTGAACCACGACCCTCAGACCTCAGCCTTTTGAGTAAGAAGGATTACAGATGTGAGCCACTGGCACCTGGCTCCTTGAGATTCTCCCCCTCATTTAAAAATAAAATAAAATAACAGTTTGCTCCATTTTGAGTGCAAATGCTGAGGCAGAAGGTCTCTACATCTTGTTTGTACAAATAAATAAGCGCCATCTGCCCAGCTCATGCCAGGAGGCAGGCTGATAAATAATCAAGCAAATAAAAGATTACCGCAGACGAGTTTATCAAATTAAACCAATTTATTTTGGAAGGCTATAAGCTATATAGAAAAATCGGGGAAAAAGATAATCTCTTAGTATGTAAAAAGAAACAACAACATTTTTTTATTTCTCTTTCCCTTTCCTCAAATTTAAGACTTTATTTTGGTGGACTGGAAAGTATACCCAATGAATTAGTATGGTAATACCTATCCATAGATATTAAAAGACACATTATCGGTTGGTGAAAAGTTTTGCACTGATGCTAGAGAAAGGAGCTCTTTCTCATTTGACAATTTTAATTATTATGGATGAAAAATCTCGGCATGGCTTAATTTAAAGGCCAAGCAAGCTCTGTAATTGGCTTAATGCACATTGGTATAGCAGCATATCTCAGCAGTGAAAGGGAGCAAGCGATTTTGCATACATTACCAGTTAGACTCTAATGGCACACACATCTTTTATGGGATTACATAGATGTCTATTATTTTAGAAACTCAGGATGCTGAGATTTGAGGATCACGGTTTGAAGCTAACCCAGGTTAGAAAAAGCACGAGACTCATCTCTAATTAACCACCACAAAGCCAGAAATAGAGCTGTGGCTTAAGTGGTAGAGTGCCAGCTTTGAGTTAAAAAGCTAAGGAAGAATTCTGTGGCCCTTAGTTCAAGCCCTAGTACTGGCATTGGCATTAGGGCTAGGCGCTGCTGGTTCACCCCTGTAATACTAGCTACTCAGGAAGCTGAGATCTGAGGATCATGGTTCAAAGCCAGCCGGGCAGGAAAGTCTGTGAGACTCTTTTTTTTTTTTAATTGTGAAAATACTGTAGAGAGGGGTTACAATTACACAGGCAAGATAATGAGTATATTTCTTATCAAGCATTGTAGCCTCCTCCTTTGTTTCCCCTTCCCATCCCTTCCCATCCTCCCCCCACACCCTATCCCCCGCCCCCCAGACTCTTAATCTCTAAGAAAACATCAGAAAAACCAGAAGCGGTGCTGTGGCTCAAGTGGTAGAGCGCTGGCCTTGAGCTGAAGAGCTGAGGGATAGTGCTCAGTCCAGAGTTCAAGCCCCACTACTGACTGACAAAAAAAAAAAAAATCAATCTTATGGCATTAGGATTTCCATATTGAGATGGGGAAATGGAGAGCCAGAAAGGGCTATTTTCTTAATGTTACTTGGAAGTAGAAATTTCAGAATATAATAAGGATTTTTTACTCCAAGGTCCCCATACTTTTCACTTCACTGTAAATGCAGTTTCTTCAAGCTACTTAGACTGAGGGTTTTTTTTTTTCTTTTTTTCCAGTCCTGGGGCTTGAATTCTGGGCCTGAGCACTGTCTCTGAGCTTCTTTTGCTCTCTACCACTTGAGTCACAGCACCACTTCTAGCTTTTTTTTTTTTTTTTTTAGTAGTTTTTTAGAGACAAGAGTCTCATAGACTTTCCTGTCTAGGCTGGCTTTGAGCCTCAGATCTCAGCTTCCTGAATAGCTAGGTACAGACATGAGCAGCTGGCGCTCAGTTTAGACTGAGCATTTGAATGGTCATTTCTGTGTAGATCCTGCCAATGTCACGTTAGCCTCTTCCTGAGCTTTTCTTGGCCTTCCTGTGCCCAGAAGTCAAGTGTTAATCAAAGACAAAAAGGGAGATTGTAGCAAGAGAGACATGGAGAAGAATGTCAGGAAGTACCAGCTAATTCTCTTTGGGCTTATCCTAATGCATTTTGGCCAGAGATTGACAATGGCAAACAGTGGCTTCTTTTTTCAGCAGCTCCAGGACCCCAACTTCCCACTGAAATGTGAGGATTAGAAATGCATGATTCTGCACTTCAGTGTTGCATTGGCAGAGAGTTCATCTTCTTCCATCCCAGCCTTGGTGAACTCTGCTGCCGTGGTGTCTTAATCTTGTGGAATTTAGAGACTGACATGGGTCTCCATTTTTCAGGTCATAAAGGTGGATGCAAGTGGAGAAATAAGTAAAGAAGCTAGTTTAGCAAATAATCAGGCACAAGAGACCTGTCCTGCATCTCAGTGGGTTTAATACATCCATAATGCATTTGGTGATGGCAGGGAGGTAGCAAAAGCCACTGATAGTTTCTGTGCTCCTGCCAATCGGAGTTCTGTGCTCTTGACTTTCTGGACTTTGGCTAAGTTGTAGATTATAGAGACATGGAATTATTGCTGAAGATGGTTTTTACCAGACCTACTGTCAAATTGGACCCTCAAGGAAAGTTGTTCTGGAAGGAATGCTGCTAAGTCATGGGAACTGCTCATGGAAGGCAGTTTCTGCAGAATGAATTAGGGTGAATGGTAAGGAATGAATTTGCTTTGGTGCTGAGGTTTTGAAATCTTGTCATTCTCAGCTTTTCAAATGAGAGGTGAAAATGTTGATCTTTTTAAAAAAAATGGGGCTGGGAATGTGGCTTAGAGGTAGAGTGCTTGCTTAGCATTCATGAAGTCCTGGGTTTGATTCCTTAGTACCATACAAAAAGAAAAAGCCGGAAATGGAGCTGTGGCTCACGTGGTAGAGAGCTAGCCTTGAACAAAAGAAGCTCAGGGACAGTGCTGAGGCCCTGAGTTCAAGGCCCAGGGCTGGCAAAAATTAAAAATAAATAAAAAATGGATTTTCAGTGCCATGCTCCTATGGCTCATGCATGTAATCCTAACTACTTAGGAGGTCTGAATTATCAGTGTTTGAAGGCAGCGTGGGCAGGCAAAACTGTAGGACTTATCTCCAATTAGCCAGCAAAAAAAAAACAACAAAAAAACTAGCAGTAGAGCTGTAACTCAGCAGTAGGGAGCCAGCCTTGAGTATAAAAAGCTAAGGGATAGCACCCAAAGCTCTGAGTTCAAACCCCAGTATAGGCACTAGAAGAAAAATAAAATACATGTGCAAATCTTAAGAGGTAAACTCTCTCTAAAGCTTTTGAATGTATGTCAGATGGTTTTGCATAGCTTGTATATTTTTCTAGACAAGATTAGGTCAAACTAAAGACAAGCTAACTTCTGTTACCCAGTTCTGACATCATGGAAGGAAACATTGATAGTCAGAAACTTCTGATGTTGAAGATTCTGTCAACATATTGGGCCCAATATTACTTGGTAACAATGTTAGAAATACTTAAATAAGATGAGCAGAGAGACAAGTGGAACTAACTCAACAAATCACTCAAAACAAGGTGAGATTTTTTTTCCCCCTCAAATTACATTGAAATTGAGGAAATGGAGAGTGCAGAATAGAGTTCCAGTGTCATAACAAAGAGTAAAAGGTGGGTCTGAGGTAGGAGATGATGTAGCAAGAATTGGCCCAATTTCTAAATAAATAAATAGCTGACATTACATTGAAATTGACCAATTCAACTAAGTTAATAGCATTGGATAGCTATTTCAGTAATATGTCAACATGTGGTACTATCTTAAACATTTTTAAATATGGTAGAGCAAATTCATATTCCAGTGTTTTTGGTGAGTGCTGGTTTGGGGGCCTGCACTCAGAGCCTAGGCACTGTCCCTGAGCTTTTGTGACTCAAGGCTCTACCACTTGAGTCATAGCTCTATTTCTGTCTTTTTCTGCTTAATTGAAGATAAGAGTCACAGATTTTCGGGCTCAGGCTGGCTTCAAATCATGATCCTTAAATCTCAGCCTCCTGAGTAGTTAGGATTACAGGCATCAGCCTGTAATTCAAACATTTTAAAACTAGATACCTTTCCTAGAAACCCAATACTAACACATGGTATAATTAATTCTAACAGAATTTAAAAAAAAAAAAGAAAAAATTTTTTTCAGTATCAGAATCCTTTACCAAAAATACTTTGGGACTTTGAGGTTTTTGTCTATAACATAATGTTCTTTTTTGTTTCCTCTTGGGATGGTGGGATTCATGATAATTCCAATTGTTATAACTTGGTGTGCTTTCAAATATATGACAGTAAATGTTACATTTTAATTGGACAAACACTAATTTTGAGTGGTTAAAAAAAAGGGGCAGGTGTGGTTTGGTGACGAGGAAAACATTTCCAGCATTTGAAACAATCTGGCAAGGGTTGGGAGGCAAAAGACAGAAATCTGACTACAGTCAAAGCTTGCCAGATGGTAGCAAATAACTGCCAAAGTTCGATGGTGCTATAATTAATCGAGACTAGCTGTCATTTCAGCAAGCTATCTTCTTACAAGACAGGTGGCGATAGAATGCCGTATTGAGATTTCCCTCTGTGAGCTTGTGTTGAAATGGAGAAATGGATGGAAAGTCCTTTAATGGAGCCTTTAGTGTATGAAGAACAGTGAGAAAGGGTGGACTATGGACAATTACAGAGAATTTCATTTGTTGATGTTTCCTGGGAGTATATTACTTCAAATGACCCTAGTTGGGAATTTATAAGGGAAAATTTATTCTATTATGTGTAAAGGAAGGATCTGCCAAGCAACACAATTGCCCCTGTCATGTTTAGAGTATTTTTTTTTTTTTTTGTCGGTCGTGGGGCTTGAACTCTGGGCCTGGGCACTGTCCCTCAGCTCTTCAGCTCAAGGCGAGCGCTCTACCACTTGAGCTACAGCGCCACTTCCGGTTTTTCTGGTGGTTTATTGGAGATAGGAGTCTCACAGTCTCTCTTGCCCAGGCTGGCTTTGAACCGCGATCCTCAGATCTCAGCCTCCTAAGTAGCTAGGATTACAGGCGTGAGCCACCAGCGCCCGGCATGTTTAGAGTATTTATCTGATGTGCTTTCAAGTCTAATTAAATACTTCAGAGGCTTCATTGACCTTCAAACATGTGACTTGTGGATAATAAACTCATCACAGTCTGATTTTAGTCAGTGGTGGTGTTAGAGAAGTCACATAATTCCTTTCTTTCAGATGTAGTCTACATATATCTTTAGTGTAGAAGTTGTGTTTTCATTAAATTGGAGCAGTTCTCCAAACTCTGACCCAAATGATTGAAAGTCTAGCTTTGAGTTGACTGTGATGGTAATTCACCAACAGGTCCATACAGCCTATGGTTTGCTTGGCGGTTGCAGAAGGAACTAGATGAATGTGTAAACTTGTACCTCATGGGTTAGCTGGAAAGTTACATGGAGCAAGGGACGAAGAGAATAACTTTCATGGCTTAGACTAATGCCAGTTTTGGAGAAAGCCTGTGAAATTCTTCAGTGTATGTGTGTGTGTCTGTGTGTCTGTGTGTGCGTGCACGCGCACACATGTCTGGGTTCAAGGCAGAGGATTCTTCACATTTCAAATGCCTAAACATATGGGTGGTAAAGTGAAGTCACAGTTTTACACCCTCGCACGCTAAGCAGGGAGAGCAGTTAACTGAGCGCCAATGTGCTAAATCAAGTCTGTCACTCTTGATTTATGATGCTTTAAAGGCACGTTAGACATAAAGATATAAAAGATAGATGTAAAAGTCACACCAGTTGCTCTGAAAGTCAGCTAGAAACCCAAGGCTTTTAAATTCCTGGGTGGTATTAGTCCAAATTGGCAGCCAAAGGAACAAAGTCTTAGTCACCACACTTCCATGTCCTTCTGAACAGAAATAGGCTCGAATCTTCCGAGTGGCTCTTCTGAGGTGCTTCATCGGTGACGTCACACAGATTGTCACCGCCCTCAGTCTACTTTAGGCTCTGCTGAGAGTCCAAGAGTCCAGGCAGCCAGGGAGACAGCAGGAGTTGGAGGCTGAATTGGAGAGAGTAAGGAAGAAGCGTGCCATAGCCCAGGTGTGTCCTTGACCCCCATCAGGTAACAGCAGAGTTATCTGCCTGGCCTATAGAATGTGTGTGTGTGTGTGTGTGTGTGTGTGTGTGTGTGTGTGTGTGTGTGTGTGTGTGTGTGTGTGTGTGTAGGTCGCAATGACATTTCTTAAGACGTAAAGTATTATTATTATTATTGATTCCTGTTTTTCATTGGTATGTATTTTCTCCCTTCTTACTTTTTAAAATGTTTTTCTTCCTATCTTAGAAGAGAGTCTATTTTCCATCTCCCCAAAGTTTCTAATCACTGAAAACCACCATTGAACTTAGGGTGCAATTTTGCTCATAGCCTTTTGGGTTTTAGTAGATCCATGTGGCAATCACTTTGGGTCATATACCCCAGGGAAGAATTAAAATAAGAGACGGAATGTTTTATGGACTAACAGTGGAAAGGATGTCTGTTCTGATTCCTGCCTAACTTTGAGTCATCCTTCCTAAATATGTAAATATATGTGAAAATTCATCTTTACCCTACAGTTGTATGTGTTGATTGAATTGGGCCAATTGGAAATTCTCACCTTATTTTCCCCATTTTATTCAGTTAAAATACATGACCAAACAAATACTTGCAGTCACTGTCAAAGTTCAAAAAATAGTTACGAGGTAAGCCATGGGAAAGAAGTGTGCTCAGTAGCTGTCAATTCAGAATGCATAAAACGTGAGCAGTCTAGCAACAATGATAAGCCACACACATAATGATCATTTACCAAAAACTTGATCATTTACTAGCACCCAGAAATCTATTCCTGATCACCTCCCTTTCTGCTGTCTGTCCCAAAGATTGAAGTAGTTTTGACCTTCCTTTTCTTAGTGCTTTCCCATATATTTGTACATTCCTAAACAAGTTCTTTGTCTTTGATTCTATAAAAGGAACCATCTGTTTCTTTTGTATATTCTTCTTTTGCTCATCAGTTGTATTTGTGAGCTCTGTCCATCCTGTGTGCAGCTACAGTAGTGCTTACATTTTCTCTGTTCAATAGCTTTCAAATGTCTCCATATACTATTCAGCTATTCAAGTGTTGACGAACATTTGTGGTTTTTTAATTTTTTAATTTTGTTTTTTTACACTTTGAAGTTCCTATGCTACCTTGAACATCCTTGTACATGAATCCTGGCGCCCGTGTACTTGAGAATCTAAGGTAGAAGTTAAACTGTAAGCATTAAGGAAGAACATTTTCTACCTTAATTAAAAAAGTACCACATTGTCAAAGTGACTGAAAATTCACACTTAATTTAGTTGCAGTAATAACCTGCTGTAATATTCTTAAGAGGTGACCGCAATTCTGGGAACTAGCTCTTGTCTGTCACTTGTAGGTCTGCCTCTAATTTTCTTTTTTTTTGGGGGGGAGGGGCAGTCCGGTCGTGGGGCCTGAACTCTGGGCCTGGGCGCTGTCCCTCAGCTCTTCAGCTCAAGGCTAGCGCTCTACCACTTGAGCCACAGCACCACTTCCGGCTTTTTTTCTGTTTATGTGGTGCTGAGGAATTGAACCCAGGGCCTCATGCATGCAAGGTAAGAGCTCTATCACTGAGCCACCTTCCCAGCCCTCTAACTTTCTTTGCTACAAAAACAGCCTCTCTTTTAAAAGTCAATTTCTCAGCTAAGTTTTTGGGACAGACAAAACCCACAGTAATACTTGCCTAAGTTATGAAGGTAATTGGAAAAACTTCCAATAGCATTTTCCTCTTTTTTATTCCCCCCAAGTGTTTTCCTATTGGATCCCAAATCATGATTCATTTTCTTTAGTTTGTCAGTCCTGGGGCTTGAACTCAGGGCCTGGAAATTGTCCCTGAGCTTCTTTTGCTCAAAGCTAGCACTCTACCATTTGAGCCACAGCTCCACGTCCACCTTTTTCTGTTTATGTGGTACTGAGGAATGGAACCCAGGCTCCACGCATGCATACTAGGCAAGCACTCTACCATTAAGTCACATTCCCAGCCCATGATTCTTTCTAATATAAGAGCTTAATCTAATCAGCAGATCTGGTGGGTCAGTTAATTTGCTCTTCCTGAACTGGGTTACTTTGATCACTATAAACTGGTTTTTGCTTTTTTTTCTTACCTATCTCCACATTTCTTGGTAACTTACTCAAATAAACAAATGGCATTTAGGTTATGGTTTGATCTCATTAATAAGTTTATAGTACGAGCTGGTCTTTGATTCCTTTGTCTCCAGGCCCCATGTCTAGACTGATTCTCCTCCTGTTTTTTGAGCTTGTGGGCATTTGGTCATATTCTCACTTCCTCCTTCACCTATCACTTTTCGGTTGTTTAATTCTCCCTTCAAGCAAATCTTTGGAAAGATTCCCATTGGCAAATGACTACTTCCTGCTGTGGACCAAAGATGATGAAGAATTAAAAGAGAAAGGCAATGTAAACCAATCATTATTGGCTGTGTGCTAAACCAAGATTCAGCAACTAACTGGTTAGTACCACTTGGTTGGCACCAACAATTACACAATTAAATGAACTATTCGGCTAGAACGAATAATTTGGTCCATTGATGCTATACCAGATACAGTAATTAAAGCTAATAGTTCTATTTGGTTAGATGGCTCAAAATATTCAGACAAAAACTTGACTACGAGAGCTTTCCACCCCTCAAACTCTTACCCTTAGCAAACAAAATACTATTTTGTTAAGGTTTTACATTCACATAAGGTTTTACATTTAATAGTAAAACTTCACCCTGAATGTCTAAAATGTAGGTGTCTACCTAAAATTATCTAAAATACAGAACACTGGTATGTTATCTACATTGTCGCTCTACATCACCAAAGGTAATAATTTGATGGCTGGCATCATCTATGTTCCCGAGGTGTGGTTTCTTGCAAGTACAATGTGCACGCACTCTGAAGATTCCAATCCTGCTCTTTGAAATGTTTACAATCTAGGCACATCCTGGGCTGGACTAAAAATAGCTGGCACAAGCCCTGAAGCTGAAATGCTCATGAGGTTAACACTTGCTCTCTGGACTGACTAGCAAGGGACTTTTGGTTGACCCCCCAGTAGGCTCTGTGCCCAATGCAAAGCCATGCAGCTGTTGGCACTATTTTACACCTTCAGCTGGGGCTGGATGAAGACTTAGAGCAGCCTGAAATCCAGAGGATTATGTGATCCTCCGCCCAAGGATAGATAATTCAGTGTCTCATGGGCAACACTGAACTGTAACATTCTTTTCTTTTGGTGTCTGTACTTGCTGATGCCTTTAAGTTAGTGAAGTAAACACATGCGTTCATACACACAGAAGTCAGAAAGAAATGAAATGCTTTAAATTTGGTTAAAAGTGCCAGTACAGAGAAAGTACAAAGTACAAAGAAAGTACAAAGGAAGAGAAGAATCAGAACAAAAATATTGGTTTTGGTGACACCAGGAAGGGAAGCCAGACTCTTAATATTAATACAAGTTGTGTGTGTGTGTGTGTGTGTGTGTGTGTGTGTGTGTGTGGTTTAAGGTATTGACTCATGTCACTGTGGATGCTGACAAGTCTGAAATTTCCATGGTAAGCTGGAGTGAAGAGTGGAAGCCCTTGTTCAGAGATAGCCCAAGGACAGATGTTGGACATCTGGGATGGGCAAGGTTGAGTTACGACTTCTTGATCCTGGAATGGCAATCTTATCTTTTTCCTGTGGGTTCCTCAATACCTTCTTTGTGTCCTTTCTTTAGTTATTTTTCTCCCCCACTCCCCTCCCCCCCCCCACAAGGCACAGGGCCTCATAATTCCTAGGCAGATGTTCTATCTCCTGAACCAAGCCTGCAGTCCCTTTTTGCCCTTTTTTTACCTTTCCAAGGTAGAGTCATGCTCCCTGCCCAGGCTGACGTAGGCTTCTATCTACCTCGGGCTTCCCTGTGTTTTTACTGCAGATGGTAGGTACAAACCACTGCACTTAACCATTGTGCTTCTCCTGTAGCTGGGATAACAGGTGCTCACCACCACCGTGTCCAGCCATTGAGTGAGAAAAGTCTCTTAACTTTTTATGCCTAGGCTCACTCCAACTGTGATCCTCCAATCTCTGTCTGTCAAATAGCTGGGATTACCGTCCTAGTCACTGTGTCTGGTCTTTTAATCCCCTCTTTTTCTTCCTTTTTTTTTTGTTGTTGTTGGTTGTAGAGCTTGAACTCAGGGATTAGGCTCTGTCCCTGAGCCCAAGAGAGAGATCTCTTGAGAGATCTCTCTTGAGAGAAAGATCTCTCAAGGTTAGCACACTAACACTTTGAGCCATAGCTCCACTTCCAGTTTTCTGGTGGTTAACTGGAGATAACAGTCTCATGGACTTTCCTTCAAGAACTGGCTTTGAACCCCAATCCTCAGATCTCAGACTCCTGAGTAGCTAGGATTACAGGCACGAGTCCCCAACATAATCCCCTGTTTTTAACAGGACACCAGTCACCTTGCATCAGGGTCTACCTGAGTGACCTCATTTTTGTTTGTTTGCTTGCTTGTGTTGGTACTTGAGTCATGCCTCCAGCTCTATTTGCTGTAGGCTTCTTTTTCTTTTTTCCTAAGTAATGTCTCATGCTTTTTGCCTAAAGTGTGCCTTGGCCTGCAATCCTATTACCTAGGGCCTCCTGAGTAGCTGGGATTACAAACATAAATCAGTACTCTAAGCCTTAGTGACCTCAAGATGCTCTCTCCCAATGCAGCCACATCCTTAGGGAACTAGGGCTGTAAACATAAAAATCTCGAGGGGGACACTGTCAACAAATATCATCTTATATTAACCCTCGTTTACCTCCCCATGTCTTGATTTGGTTGCTTCCTCTTAGGAGGTGAAGACAAGCCGGAAGGCGAGTCTGCCGGAAGTTGAGGCTGCCGGAAGTCCTCCCCAGCCAGTGTGAGGATGGAGCGGTCCACCCAGGAGCTGTTCCTCAACTTCACCGTGGTCCTCATCACTGTCCTCCTCATGTGGCTCCTTGTGAGGTCCTATCAGTACTGAGAGGCCAGGAGTTGTTCCCAGGCCTGCCTAGATGCCCTGGGGGTGCCTCCTGCCTGCCCTGAGAGCCCACAGCTGGCATGGGGTGTCACTCTTGGCACCCCCAAGCTCCTCTGACCCACACTCACAATGCCTGACCTATCCCAGCACTAGGAGTGATCATGTGTTCTGTAAAGATGCTGCTTGCATGGCCTGCCTGGTGACCAGTGAACACTAGAGCTAGCCCCAACTCCTACTGCCCATGGGTTAGACAGGCTACAAGGTCAAAGGCAAACTGGATTCATGATGCTGCCACACCAGAACAGTCCCTGATGTGTCTCAACACACTCTCTCCCCCACAATCCGCACTGCCTGTAACCAAACTCTCATTCAACCCGCCAGAAGCAATGCTAGAGGAAGTCTCTGTTAACTTCTCTAACTCTCATGTCAATAAAGTCAACTCAACCCTGAAGATAGTGGCTTTTTAGAATTTATTTTAGCTTCTGTGAATGGTGCAGCATTCACCCCTTGACTATGACAGAAGTGACAAACGCTCTGGTATTTCTAGCATTTGAGTTAAGCTAAGGCTCACCAACTGCTAAGGATTTGAAACCAAGTCAAGTAAGGGGATCACATTTCAATCATTCCTTTGGGTCAGTGTTCCTCAAGCCTTTCCCTTTAACCAGTTCCAAGGGCAGAGGGCGGATAACCTCACTCCGCTAGAAGATCTGAGCCAGCACCTGGAGAGGCCACTAAAAGACAAACCCCCTTAGAAGTCTTACAGCTTATCCTCAGAATTCACAAAAATGATATATTCTACTACATAGCATCTCCATGTTTATTTAACTCATCTGTCTCTCGTCTGTCTATCCATACCAGCTGTGGGGCTTGAACTCAGAGCTGGGCCAATATCCCTGAGCTCTTTCCCTCAAGGCTAGCAATCTACCACTTGAGCCACAGCTCCACTTCTGTTTTTTTGGTTGTTAGTTCGAGATAAGAGTGTCTCAGAATGGGGCTGGGAAGGTGGCTTAGTGGTAGAGTGCTTGCCTTGCATGCCTGAGGCCCTGGGTTCGATTCCTCAGTACCACATAAGCAAAAAGAAGAAAGCCGGAAGTGGTGCTGTCTGTGGCTCAAGTGCTAGCCTTGAGCTGAAGAGCTGAGGAACAGTGCCCAGGTCCAGAGTTCAGCGCACAGGCCCAGAGTTCAGTCGGAACAGTGCCCAGGCCCAGAGTTCAGTGCCCAGGTCCAGAGTTCAGTCCCAACGACCGGACCCAAAACAAAAAAACATAACAAAACAAAACAAAAAAAAGAGTGTCTCAGAATTTTCTGCGCTGGCTGGCTTTGAAATCCAATCCTCAGATCTCAGTCTCTTGAGTAGCTAGGATTACACAGGCAGAAGCCACCAGCAACTGGCTTCCATGTTTATTTTTAATATAAGTATTTAGCATTATTGATCACTAATATGAATCATGTTCCTAAATGTAGAACATTCTTATTTAGTTATTGTCTTGATACAAATACAGCCTTACAGGGACAAAGAAAATACACGAGGGCTGGGAATGTGGCTTAGTGGTAGAATGCTTGGTTAGCATGCATGAATCCCTGGGTTCGATTCCACAGTACCATATACACAGAAAAACCTGGAAGTGGTTCTGTAGCTCAAGTGGTAGACTGCTAGCCTTGAGCAAAAGAAGCTCAGGGAAGCTGGGCGCCGGTGGCTCATACCTGTAATCCTAGCTACTCAGTAGGCTGAGATCTGAGGATCGCAGTTCAAAGCCAGCCCGAGCAGGAGACTTTCCTGCCTGGGCTGGCTTTGAATAGCTTCCTGAATAGCTAGGATTACAGACTTGAGCCACCAGTGCCCAGCAAAAAATTTTTTAATTTAATTTCTGTTGTTGTTTTTGGTTGTGGGCTTGAGCTCAGAGCCTGGGTGCTGTCCCTGAGCTCTTTTGCTCAAGGTTACAGCTCTGCCACTTTGAGCCACAGTGCCACTTGCAATTTAATTTATTTTGTAGGTCCTGGGGCTTGAACTCAAGGTCTGGGTACTGTCCCTGAACCTCTTAGTACTCAAGGCTAGCATTCTACCACTTGAGCCACAGCACCACTTCTGAAATTGTTATTTTAAAGGTGCTATACAAAGAGGGTTATAGTTGCTTAATCAGGTGAAGAGTAATTTCTTGTTGGACAATATCGCCCCTGCCTCACTCTCATTTTTTCAATTATTTGTTGCTTTCTTTCATAGTGGTGACCTTGCATAGATGTCCCCTTCGCCTGAACTTCCCTGTCTTTCTTTTCCTGGCTAATGCCTGGTCATTTGCTAAGATTGCCATCAAGTGTGGTTACTTCTTGGAAGTTCTCCCCAAATCATTCCTGCTCTCTGGGCTTCAGGCCTAACTTCTCATGTCACTTATCACATCGTGTTGGTTTGTTTGTGTCTCTCGCATGTGTGTTTGTCTTGGGGACTTGCTTCCATGCTTAATTTTAGCTCCTTTTTAGGCCAATCCTCCTCACTGGGTATCTGTTGAATGCATCACTGGCTGCCTGGCTGGACATAAAAGTCTTTAGTAGACAGGTACCATTCCTGTGACTAGATGCATGATCTGTGTTTGCCGACATGTGCTTTAAACAGAGGCGTGAAAAAAGTTCTACTTCCAAAATGTCTATGACATTAATGAGCCATCCAAACTTTGAAAAAGAAAACTTTAGACAGTTGCAAACAACTTGTTCAAAGGCAAGTTAGCTTCTTTATGAAATATTCATGGTGCCAGCTGCTTTTGATCTATACCACCACCCTGAACAATTTGACAATGCTTATGAATTACTCATCAAAGCCTAAATATGCTCAGTGTGTTGAGCCTATTTTCAAGTTCATCTACCAACAGGGTGATACTGGAGAAATTGACAAAGTGAGGGTCAAACTCAATGTGTAACATGATTGCATACTTATTGTGTCTTAGGAGTATTTCTGTTTGATTCAACTTCTAAAAACAAATCTCGTGAAGCATGTATTAACTAATTTATTATTCTTTTGCGATGAGTTCCATTATGTTGCCTAAGTGGGTCTTGAACTCCCAGACGCAAGTGATTCTCTTGCCCTAGACTTCTGAGTATCTGAGAGTTCAGGTATGTGGTACTAGATCTGACAGAGTTGAAACACTAATCTTTATTCAGGCCATAAAGATGAGGAAACAGAGGCTTGGAAAGATGAGTGATCAGCTCTAAAACACAGAGGAGAGAGGATAATCTAGTTCTTTTTAACTCTGAGACCAGGCAGACATTCCTCTTCTAGCCCTCTGTTCTGTCAGCTGACCCAAAGATGCAAGACAGGTTTCTTCTACCCTGGCCTTGAAAATGCCAAAAGCATGGTATTATATCAAATCTCGAAATAAATACCTCTAGATAAGTACATTACTTGTTTTATGGTTCAGTCATACAGGATGTGCAACCTCTTCATTGTTCTGTATTCCAAGTGTCTGAAACAAGCCCCAGACCATCTGTTCTGTCACTCAACTGAGCAGGAGATAATAATAAGAGTCCTGATGGCTGGTTAGCTATTGTCAATGTGTCAGTATTATCTGTTGGCCTTGAGTGGAAATGACACTTCCATCTAGTGCATTAGCTGGGTATGCACACTTGTAGGAATTTGTCACATGGTAATTTTCATTTCCCACACATTAGGTCATTTAAAAACAAGGCTCTGGAAACAAAAAAAAGCCAGGGCTTTGGATTCACAGTAAGAATTTTGTTATTATGACCTTAGGACAATTTCTGAACTTTGGTGGAACACACAGTTTCCTTTGGATAATAAGCCTTCTTTTAAAATTGTCAAATAGAAAAACTGAAAATAAATAAAAGAAACGTAAATACTTGTAAGAAAGTTAAAAACAAAGTATACTCCAAGAGTATAGCTAAGCAATAGTGCATGTGTTTAGCAGGTAGAGATATTGAGTTAAATCCTAAAACCTTCACTGCAACCCAGTCCAACTAAAGAAGAGTACCTTTTTTTTTTTTTTTTAAAGTGTGATTGTTGCCTTACATTACATAATATTTTCAAAGTACTTAGCACAATGCTTGACAATGAAAGAATACTGAATAAGTGGTGGTTAATATTACTATAAGGTAAGTATAATACTTGGTACACACTAGGTCCTAAAACTTGTTAAAGTGGTGGTAAAGGCAGGGTGCCTGTGGCTCACGCCTGTAATCCTAGCTACTCAGGAGGCTGAGATCTGAAGATTGCACTTTGAAGCCAGCCTGGGCAGTAAAGTCCAGGAGACTCATCTCCCATAAACCATTCAGAGAAAGCTGAAGTGACGCTGTGGTTCCAGTGGTGGATGGTGGGAAGCTGTTTTGATATTTCAGTGCTAGTTCAAGAAGGATGAGCCAGGTGCTGGTGGCTCATGCCTGTAATCCTAGCTACTCAGGAGGCTGAGATCTGAGGATGGAGGTTCAAAGCCAACCCAGGCAGGAAAGCCCCTGAGACTCTTCTCTCCAATTAACCACTAGAAAACAAGAAGTGGTGCAGTGGCTCAAATGGTAGAGTGCTCGCCTTGAGCTGCAGAGTATAGGGACAGTGCCCAGGCCTAGAGTTCAAGCCCCACGACCGACCAGAAAAAAAAAAAAAAATCAAGAAGGATGATGATAAAAATGTGAACTCTGAGGATTTTTTTTAAAGTGGGAGAAAGAGGTGAATTGTAATTTCCTTTGCTGTGAAGAGTAGAATTATAGCCACATTAATTAAAATCTTTTCCTGATATTTTCAGTACCTCAGATATGCTAGTTCTGATATGATGATGGTGGATATAGATATGATCAGCAGAGACTATTTAATCGGCAAACTAATTCTTTTGAATGAAAAGACATAATTTCTACTGACCATAAAAAGGTAAAGCAAGTCAATCTTGCTAGAAAGAATAATGCATTAGAATCTGGCTGCAGGACATATATTTTGAAAAGTCTCACTTTTTAAAAATTTGTAACTCAAAACTGGTAAATGGTTTTCTTTTTTAATATTAACTCTGATGATTTGAAAAAAGAGATACTAGAAGACTTTTTTTTCTCCATCTGGGTGCCAATCAAAAAAGAATTTGGCCCTGAATACAACTTGTTCCAAATTATTATACTGTTTTAATTACTATGTTAATCATCATAATGTCATATATTTTTCTGGGAAGAAATAAACTTATTAAAATTTTATTTGGCTGGTATTTCTTTGAACCTTTTAAGGCTTTGTTGGCTAAGTGAAAATTCTGAGTTATTTTATGAAATCATTCTTAGTCTTCTCATAAACAAAAACTTCTGTTCGTGTTTGATAACTTTTAGTTTTTAATATATTAAACTTTTTGTTGTTGTTATTGTAAAGGTGTATACAGAAGGGTTACATTTCCAGTTTTCTGGTGGTTAACTGGAGATAAGAGTCTCATAGACTTTCCTGCCTGGGCTGGCTTTCAAACATGATCCTCAGATCTCAGC